TACAAATTCTCTTCTGCCACGAAACCATAGACAAATACGTCGTCCACAAAGGGTGGCAGCCCAGAAAGAGGTTGTAGGCTGGTTGGTCCTTCGTTTCCTTCCAAATACTTGCATTGGGATATGTCGGACAAAAGGTTTCCATCGTGGGCATTGTCCAGCAGCAAATGTGCTAGCAGTCTACCTTTTGCACGTATGCCCATCTCCTGCAATGTCGTCGAAATACTCTTTTGGCCTTCCATCTATATATAGGGCGTCGAAGGTTTTTGGCTACTAGTAGAAGCATAACGAATCGTTATGTACATCTCACCCAGCCTTTTCTTGTACATGCAAAGGTAGCGGTCGCAGCCCTTGCTATCCCACGGACGTTCCCGGTGCTTGCTACCAGCGCAGTGGACACACACACAAAAAAAAACGATTGTGTAAAAATGTGTCTACCAGGAATACCCGTGCAGGAGTAGAAAAGGTTGTCGAAAATGGTTGTCGAAACGATGTCATTCTATACACTCTTATAAAATGCTTCTTCAAGTCCAYTTCTTTCTTAAAAGTTCTCTTACATTCTTCGCACTCCATATATAGACTAACATATTTAACTACATAGACACGGGATGCGGGTAATCGCGGTACGAATCGAGGAATTCACTTTAGACGGGTAATCCTCCGGTGGTCGTTGCGCTGGAACCCCCATCCCCTATACTACTCTATATTCATGTGTCTTCTCATGCACAACCATTAAACAAAGAAATAATACTCTAGGGAATGACACGTGGTCTTGAGAATAAGATTCTTTATTTGAGTTAGATCCATATTCATGTGTCTTCTCATGCACAACCATTTAASAAAGAAATAATAATCTAGAGAACGACAAGTGGTCGGAAAAGGTAGGATATTGACGCCCAAGCAGAAGGGATCTATTGTGGAATCCGCGATCCAGACACCCCACCACTATTCCGAATTTTACGACTCACGGACGGATTTCTAGAAATAAGGGAATGGTTTGTCTTACCTTCATGTCATAACCAATACCATGAGCGCGACACATTTGAAAGAAGACACTGTAATGGATGACGCTTAGGTTACTGTGCCGTAGCTGAGTGCTCAAGATAGCGTATCGATTTGGATTTGGAGGCGGCTGTGAACAATGAAACAAAAAAAGAGATATGATAAATGGAAGCAATATGGTAGATTACTCCTTAACCGTTGTTGTTATTGTTTTTGCTGCTGCTGAAGTTCTTATTGCTGCTGATGTTGTTGTTCCTCAGTGTTGTTTTTGCTGCATTTTCTGCATTCGTTTTGTCGTTGTTGTTTTATTTATTGCTGCCATTGTTCTCGTTGCTGCTGTTGCTGTTAATTTAGCTGCCGGCATTTGTTGTCACGGCACAGGGGGCAGAGGGGGCCTACTTATCTTTCATTGTTTACGAAAAGGTCTTGTCGCTCCGCAATCTTGTTATATTGTTTTATTCATAACATAAGTAATATTAGTAAGCTTGGGCCCGTCAGATAACGCGCGCTGTGCGTAATATTATTGACAATCATCCACTGTGAGCTAAGGCACAGCACAGCGCGCGGTATCCGACGGGCTCAAGCTTACTAATATTATGTACAACGGTAAATAATATAAAACAAGATGGCGGAGGGGCAAGGCCTTTTCGTAAACAATGAAAAATAAGTGGCCCCCCTCTGCCCCATGTGGTCACGGCTGTTCCCTCCTGATTTTGTTTGCCCCATGGTAAATGTAACCAATTAAAAAGTCCCAATACATACTTCCTCTTCTTCGTGTACTCTTCGTCGCCGTCTTCTTCCACTCTCTTCGCGTTTTCTCTTAACAGGTACCTCGAATGCAGATCTGTCTGAGTATATCGTTCCTCYACTCACGTATAAAGTCATGTTTGTCATAGCCATACTGTCACTGTACTGTAGTTTAAGATCCACTGCCCATAATGCCTGTTGCATCTGGGGGGAAGAATGGTCAGTTAACTGGTGTTAGTATAGGAAATCACACGATTTCGAGCTTGGTATACAACATGCAACAAAACCGTTGCCAAACGTTTCTGAAATAGCCATGCACATAGATCGCGACTTGAGGAGGTGCAAAAAAATACGACTTTCTTTGTCATTCTTTCCGAAGATGTTCCCTATCAGTGCCTCTCTAATATTGCAATAAAAACAGCACTGCGCAAATATGTCGCGACTTTAAGAGACGCCTCGCGAAACAACTGCTCCTTTTTCTTAATGATGATTTTGTAACATCTGTTTTACGATATAGGGTTGTAAGCCCTATGTTAACCCCCAAAAAGAGGAACAATGAAACCTCCTTCTTAATGCAGCCGGCATCAAAATCAAATGCTGCAGTTCTTCTCTAGTAGATGGTATTGTGCACGGGTTATGCAACGTACAGTAATTTTGGCTAGATCACAAGCGATTGTAATGATGCAATGACTGTACCGTAATGGGATCAATAAATGTTACGAAGTCAACAGTGAAGTGTCCAATGACTCCACGAAGTTTACATGCCAAGGCGATATTCTCAGTAGCCGTACACAGTTGAGTTGGATCAACAGAAGCTTGTGGTACAGAATATCCCCAACACATGAAGGGAGAAGCCGAGTGGATCTAGTAGTATAATACAAGAAGTTAAATACAACGCATTATTTTATGAAGGACCAAGTTGGGTCAGCTGAGAGATTGTGCTGGAAGATTTCAATCCTGGTTTTGACCCAAAAAAAACTGTTAAAGTTTGAGTCCCAAGCATTGCGTCGAGGGTGTCAATCAATATTTAGGAAGCCCTTGTCAACACAAGTGAAGTGAGTCCTTGGACACATTTGGGTCCCAAGCATTGCGTTGAGGGTGTCAATCAATATTTAGGAAGCCCTTGTCAACACAAGTGAAGTGAGTCTTGGCCCATATCCTTTGCCAAGTGGGATTATCTTTGGGAAGAGCTCACCTGGTCCCCCATAGACAAGATAGAGGTGTTTCCATTCGGTTCAATGAGCACGTCTACACTTAGAGCTGTAACACTGTCTGACGGTGGACAAGCCTCTATTACACCACCTAACAAAATGATACAACAATTGACATATTTACTACATAAATAACCTACTATACTAAACAATACCATCACCATAAATGTGTATGATCATATTTGTTGTGTGTGTAGACGTCGAGAAGAACAGTTATGCTCACTTCTTCATCGCTATTTTGCTGTTGTATCACAGCATGGGACAATCACAACAGAGCTAGGCTCCAAACTAGGTGAAAGCCCAAAGATCGAATTAGAATTTAGAAGTTGATTTTTGAGGAGAGAGGAAAACCGGAGAACCCGGACAAAAACCCTCGAAGCACAGTAGAAAACCAACAAACAACTCTACTGACATATGACATCGAGATCGGCAGGACTCGAACTCGGGCCGCATTGGTGGGAGGCGGCGCATTAGCAGCGCACGCCACCGGTGCTTCCGATGGTATCTAATGACCATGTTGCATGAGATTTTACTCTCCATCCAATCAAATAACCGAAACACGGCATGAACACGGCGTGGCCTTCGTAACGCCAAGGTCACGGCAATGCCATACCAATCACATTGCGCCACAAAAACATCCCCCCATTCAAAATCCTAGAAAACATCACGGTCACGGCAACGCAAGCATACGGCACCGACTTTTTCACAGTCATAAGTAAAGAAAACTGATTTAACCGCCATTACCTCGTTTCAAGAAGTCTCTCAAGAAGCCATCAAATGTGGGATAGAGTTCTTTATTGACAGGGTGGGCGTGGTAAGTCAAGATATCGGGTATCTCCCCTGATACTTTGATCAGCGTTGGTTCATGGGCCCATTTCTTGGTCCACTTCTCGCCATATCGTTGACATTGTTTTAAAGCCCATGGGTAGCACTTTAGATGGGGCGTCACGTCACAGTAAGCTTAAATATGAATAGACGTACAACAACTAGATTAGCTGGGTTGAAACAGCTGTATCTGCTATCTGCTACTTTCACTTTCCCATTATTGAACAAAATAAAAAAGAATTTTGAACAAGACCTTCAAGTAAATTTGAGCACTTCTTCATGCTTAAGTCAATAAAATACATTTCCTGCAACACTTAACGTCTTGATGTTTTAAACGTTATAAATTATATTAACTCATATTCAGTATTTTACCGATAAAAGGAGTTAGAGTGTACATTTGTCATTTGATTTATGAAGGTTAGAAATTATGAATTTTACCTCCCAAAAACCAAAGCAATACGGGGAATGTGGAAATAGCGAATATCAGACCTACCTGTTCCTCTGCCATCAAACTCGTTATCCATCTTAAACAGCCATCGCTTGACATGCAGGTTTTCGGTCACTAACTGCGCCAAGCTTTCGTGAAGCTGTGACAATGTGATATACATAAACAAATATATTAGTTTTAAAGAAAGAAAGAAAGAAAGAAAGACAGACAGAATGAATGAATGAATGAAGAGACAGACAGACAGACAGACAGACAGACAGACMGACCGACCGACCGACCGACCGAACGAACGAACAAACGAACGAACGAACAAGGAGAGAAGACCAAATCTCACCTGTGGTAGACTATAAACATCGAACTGTCCTGGAGGAATCCCAACTTTGGCGCTCAAGAAAATCCTCTTGGAACCTGATTTGGTTGAGTAGAGTTGAGCGACTTCTGGTTCAGGACTCATGATGGGTATGTCTGTGTTAAACGTAGTAACAYATCTTTGTTAGTGTCTGGAATAAATCTTTCAGTTTTCATCCACCATATATTTTCGTTATGATTGCAGTACTACACCTCTTCCTTCCCACCCGATATTCAGTTCAGTAGTCCTCAATCTGCGTAGCTAGAGTAATTATTTATGTGCGAAATGTTACAGTACTATATTCGTAGCCGTGCTATAGACGTACAGTACAGTAACCTTAAATACTCGTCCTGATTGGATAGTTCATAAGATTCTTACGTCATCAATGTCGTGCCTTACCGAACAGATCAGCAATGTAGATGTCATCTTTATGTAGGATACCAGGTACGATATATGCATCACGACCCTTAATAAGATTCTTGATTCTGAGAAAAAAGAGGAAAAAAACAATCAACCATTTAATCCATCGCTAGGTCGGCTTGTTAGTAAGTCAGTCAGCCAATCAGCCAATCAGTCAGTCAGTCAGTCAGTCAGTCTGCCAACCTAGCCTAGGTGTTAGAGAAAACTATTACCCTACCTTTTGATGGTTCGAGGGCTGTACATCAGAATGGACGACAAACAAAGATTGTGGGTCTGAAAAATAATGCACGTCCAGAGCAAGAAGTGAGTGCAAGAAAATATGACGAACGCTCAAGATTCAACGTGGAAATTCACACCCCCCCCCCCCGCTCCGCACCCCTCCACCCCCACACCCCCAAATCACATACTCTCTAAGATATACTCAACGTATTCTTACTGGGAAGCTATGTACAGCATCTGGTACTATGATCTTGTATCGATTCTCGATATCATCTACTTCTTCACTGGGTTTGTGTGTACTACTCAGTGGCCTTGCCTTCATGGCCAGTAACTTCGAGTAATATTGGTAGACTTCTTCATTGATTTCTACTGGACAGATATAGATAACCTCGACCTTAGGATCTGCAGAGAGAAGACAAAACAACTCGTAAATAATGTGAGGGAAGGTGTCGGAGGAAGAGGTTATTTGGTGGTGGTGGTAGTATTGATGGTGATGGTAGTATTGGAGGGCGGTGGCGGTGGTGGTGGTAGCATTGGTGGTGGTGGTAGCATTGGTGTTGGTGGTAGCATTGGTGTTGGTGGTAGTATTGGTGGTGGTGGTAACATTGTTGGTGGTGGTAGCATTGGTGGTGGTGGTAGCATTGGTGGTGGTGGTAGCATTGGTGGTGGTGGTAGCATTGGTGGTGGTGGTAGCATTGGTGGTGGTGGTAGCATTGGTGGTG